TCAGACACCACCGCTGAGCCAGGCTTCCTCCAGGAGCTGCCCTCATAGTGGGTCCAGGCATCAGACCTGGATCCCTGGAGCACTTCTGTAACATGAGCCATCCGAGCAGCAAAGTGTCTGGGCTCATGAGCCAGCTGTGACTGTGGGTACCATCCACATGATCATCTTCTAATGCTCAGGGCAGCCATGAAGTAGACAACGTTGACACCCTCCCTCTTTAAAGACAGGGGTCCTCTGAGAGAGACTACACAGCCACCAGTGGGACAGCTGTGATCTGAACCCACATAATCTGGCTCCTAGGCACACACACCTAACCACGTCACACTGCCCTTTCTCCCATGTCCATCCTCACCCTTGGCTCCATGTCACCCTTCAATCCTTCCTCAACTCTCGTATTCTCTCTCTCTCTCTCTCTCTCTCTCTCTCTCTCTCTCTCTCTCTCTCTCTCTCTCTCCTCCCTCCCTCCCTCTTCCCTCCCTGCCTCTGTCTCCCTGTTTCTGTCCCCATCTCCTTTCCTCTCTCATCTCTCTCTCTGCTCCTCTTTCCATTTCTGTGTTTTGGCTTTGATCCCTGACCCCAAGCCTGTATCTGCACTGGATGATGGGCAGGAAGCCTGGGGAAATCTAAGAAGCCTTTGACCTACTACGGGGAGATTCTCATTATTCCTCTAGTACACCAGGGAGATAGACTAGAACAAGGGATGTGGCCCAGGACTGCCTGAGGAACCCAGATCCCCAGGCTCTGGGAGACAAAATTGCAAAAACTATAGATAATCTCCGTCCCTTAACAGGGCCCCCAACTCTGCTCACAGAGTAGTCCCAGCAAGTAAGAGTCTATAAGCAACAGGCTAGATCTTATGGACTAGCTTATCTCGGTAATCTGGTTGTATCTCAGAGAAACCTTGGGAACTGCGGAAACGCTAACCCCAACTCAAGTGCCACAGGCATCCAAAGGGCACTTGAACCCCTAAAATGCTGGACTGTCTATGTGAAGATCACATGTCCTGCAAAGCCCAGGGTTAGTGGAAGTCTGGGGACATGAGTATTTGACCTAGGATTATATGAAAGCTGATAATCAGCCTGGGCAGCAGCCACTGGGGACTTTGGGCAGGTGTTCAGCCTGTGGTCTAGAGAGAAACTGGTGTTTGGGGGAAGCCCAGAAGCATTGAGAGTTTCCATCGGCTCTCATGAAGGAAAAGGTGGGTGCCAGAATAAAAACTACTTGGAAGAGTCCAAACTATTTAAATATAAGCCGGTCCTCTCACCTCTACCCCATTGGAAAGAGGCTTTAAATCTCCCCCAAGTTGCAGCATTCTCTTCTCCTTGAACATGTCCAGGGCATTGTCCAGCCCTTCCTCTGTCTAGCAACCCCTAAAGGAGCAGCTGTCTTCCTCTTCCTGGGTCTCCCCTGAGGCTCTGGAGGGTCAAATCCAGGACCGGGAGTCTTCAAAATATGCCCCATGTTCCAAGAGAGGAATATAAGTGGCAAAAGGAGGTTTTACAAAGCGAAAAGTTTGACTTAAAACTTAATATTCATGCACTGGGCTCAGCAAGGATGGAAGAGTTTGTCAATGTTGGAGATGTTGGGATTTGGGGGAGATCAACAAGGTGGCCAGAGCACAGAGATACTGCTAAGTTGAGAGCAAACCCACGGGTAGGATGGTTGCTATTGGGTGAGAAAAGTGACACCAAAAGGCAGGAACTCAAGAGTAATCTACTTTGAAGGTACCATGAGTCTGAAAAGATCTGGGATACTCTTAGCAATATAAAAGTCTTTCCCCAAGTATAGAGATGAGGTTTGCTTAGGTTACACACATGCGCGCGTGCACGCGCGCGCACACACACACACACACACACACACACAGATGCTTGATCTGATTATTTTCTCTTGATAAAGCAAGCTTGATCAAGTATTTTTATGAACCAACCCATCTCCATATCAGCTCATCTTTACTCATTCATTTTCAGGTAATTATAGTTTTAGAGGCAGCAAATAGCTGAATATCGACCAACAGACTAATGGCATTCTCTTACTGGCATTTTCTCCAACGGTGACAAATAGTTGCAAAGTAGAGCTTCTTACTTGAGCCCACCCTCACAGACAGGTGGTACGAGGAATCACTGTGTCACACTTAGCTCGAATGGTCTCTGAGTGCAATAACAGAGAGAGCAACCTTCTCTTTGTAGAAATGAGATCCCCCAGGCAGGAATGCCATGTGCATTCTGTCTGTAGCTGCAGCATGTCTTGGGATGTGAGGCAAGGTTTCTGGGGCCGGGACCGGGACCAGGACCAGGACCAGAAGGAGACAGGACCCTGTGATGTTTCTTGATTGGCCTCACTGCAGCATTAAGGCTGGAATCAAACTGGAATTAAGACTATGTGATCCAGCTTCCGACCAAGGACAGGGCACGCAAGCAGGTATCATATTTGACAGGGCCTAGAAAGTCTGTGCTGGTATCTTTGTTGCCTTGTCATCAAAGAAGACAGGCTAGAAGATGGGGCCACGTGGGCTAGTTGTGGGAAGAGGAGATTTGTGTGCAGCTGAGTAACCAGTCATCTATGGTGGACTGTAGTCCCAGGAAAAACCAGGCTGAGGCAATGAATGTCCAGCACTCAACCAAGTTTCTTCTAGCTATGGCTAAGGAGGAGGGTCAGGTTTATACCATGTCACCATTGAGGATGTGAGTCCTTTCCTGGTGCACTATCCCCAAGCCCCAGGAGTCACTCCAGCCATGCCTTGATTGCCCTGCTCTCTGCTGTCTTCCCCGATCCCACCATCCTAAGGCTTCACATATGTTGAAGCAAAACCTATGCGGCCTCTTCTTCAAAGTGTGGATTGATATAGGACCTTCTGGCAAGGGATTTCCTCTTCAGGACCTCATGATATATAGGGTGGACAGTATAGATCTAAGCCTCATGGCTGACCTGGGAAGCAGATCACCCCCATTTCTTGGATAAAGGTGGTGAGGCAGCAATAACTGGATCCGTGATCTGATCTTGGTGCGTTTCATGCCATGTTGATCCGGGGAAGCTTCCAGGGGAGTGAAGTCTAGAGTGGGCAGAGTTGGATCTGGGGTCTTTCTAGAAGACCATCTCTGCTCCGGGGAGCTTTCAAACCCTGTTCGCCTGATTTTGAGTCTATCTCATTGTGAGTGAATTAATTGTTGTGCAACCTAGAGTGGTGAGACAAGTTAATTACATAATTACTGCAAAATGACATGTTATTTCATGGCTGCAATATGGTAACTCTGTTGGAAACAATCGTAATTGCCCAGAAACTGCATTGGAGTGGCTCTGTTATCTCTTCATAACCATGTAATTAACTTTGTTACAACTTAATCTGCAGCAAACTCTGAAGTTAGGAGTTGGGACCCTTAGCATAGGCACAGCCATCCTACAACTGAGGACCCAGGGAAGATCTGATGCTGGGAGCTCTGCTATAATCTAGGAAAATGATTTGCTTTTTCCAAGCAACAAAATTTCCTCATTACAGACTCCCGCTCCACATGCTTCTCTCTATGCACTTGAATTCATTCAAATCTTCACATCATTATGCAGGGCAAACTCCCCAGTTCCACAGCTATATAAAACCCACATCACACAGAAACACCCACTTGAGTCAAACTGGCTGTCTGGCTACCTCTCTGCTCTTCCATATACATGGATGCAGCTTCTCTACACAAAGTAGTTGCCCCCCAAAGTTGAGACTCTTACCCTAAGATCCTATGCCTTTGCCATTCCTTCTCATGGACTGGACCACTGACCACAAAACCCCAGCTTGGAGAGGTAGCCTCCTCCATCACTGCTCAGAGCCCTGCTATCCCCCTCCTCACAGTGGAGGACCTGGGCTGGGGCGTGGTGATGTGATGGGCCAACCCAGCCAGTTCCTTGCCCAGGAACACAGAGAGTTTGAGGCAGTCATGCAGCTCCATCAACCTGGGCTTTGGGCTGTGGATAGGGTGAACATGGGCCCTGGGTGAGAGGAAGGAGAGACCTGATGGCCAGAGGCTGTCTATCCAGCCTTTCCTCTGTCCAAGCTTGGGGTCCTTCTTTTTATTACTGCTCAGTGGTTCACTACTGTCTCAATTCCAGGCTCTGTGCTTGGCACTGTGGCAGAATCCCTGCGGCAGATAGGTGGAAAGTGCCATTGCATCTGCCTGTCTGCTGCTGGTCTGGCTGTTTTCAGGTCTGGGCTGAATGCCTGCTGGCCTATCTCTCTTCTGCCTGCCCATACCTGTGTCTGTCTGACCATGTGTCCACTGGCTTGTCTGTCTCCACCTCTCCATAATCACTGCAAGTGGCCTGTGTCTTCTGGGGGGAACTGGCCTGTGCCAGGTGTTCCCACAGCATCCTGTCCTGATCTAAGGTTTATTTTTCTGGCTTTCTCCTTTGCTGGATTCTAGCCTCCAGGCTCACAGGAAGTTCCTCAAGGATAAGTCTTGTGTCTGATTTTCTCTGGGTCAGCCCTGCCATATAGATAGATTCAGGCTTGCCAATTGACTGACTGACTGTCTCTAGATTCTATGGACTAAGCTGAAGGGAAACAGATTTGTTTTTACTCACCTAGAAGAACAGAAGGCTGGATCCCAGATCTGGCCCAAGAATACACACACTGTCACCCTAAAAGTCAGAGGCATCTCAGGAGTACACTTCCACGATAGGGGGTTTAGGATTTGGGGTCCTATTTTGTGGTATAGATCAGAACTGGGTGGAGGAGGTGAATCAAAGACACACAGGGCTTCTCCTTGATCCTCTTTTGAGGGGCCTGCTCAAGGCCAGGTGCATGCTTTCTCAGGTTAGACACCCCCATTGCAGCTGGGGATGGGGGACTGAGTTGTTTCCTTCCTTCCAGCTTCTCCCTGATGCCAACCTGATGCTCTCCTGCTCAGCGACAGTGCATGCTGAGGAATCACTCCTGCTCTGTGCCCCATCTCTAAGGGCCAGAGGAGAGGGGACCCCCCCCCAGGTCCATGTCAGTCATGCGAACACACAGAGAAATATCCCCGGAAACATTCATAAGTTTAATCCACGCCAGTAATAAAATCGCATTACATTTCTCATAAAATAAATGTTCCCATTTATATACAGAAGACAGACTGTACAGGCCCAGCCCGGCCCCAGGAGGGGTCACACACAGAGGGGTGGCAGCAGTAGAGGAAAGGCCGTCCTCCCATCCAAGATGGAGAAGTTCGGATTCGGCAGGACAGCCAGCTGGCTAGCCGGTGGCGGCAGAGGGTCTGGCTGGCCTGCTAGGAGGGTGGGCAGGCGGGCAGAAGGATGGATGGGCCTGGAGGCCGGGCGCCGGGTGTTACTGAACCTGGGATTCAAAGGTGCCGTTGAGCTGCCCCTCCTCATAGTCCATCTGACACAAGATCATGTTGTTCTTCAGGAAGAATTTGTCTCCCACACAAAATCTAGAAAAGCCAAGCAAGAAAGAGAAGCTGCAAGAGGAGTCCTGGTGGGGAGCAGGATCCAGCCTGGCTCAGTGGTGTGGCATGTAAGAAAGGGTGTGCTGGTGAATTTGCTCCTTGAACTTCCCAGAGGGATCGCCAGAGTCCCACAACAGGCCTCGTCAGTCACCCTTGGCAGGGCCCTGCAGCCCAGGGTCGCTGGCCCACAGCCTCCCACCCTCAGATCTGTGGTAGAGGGGGAGAAGGGCTGAGGAGAGTCCTAGAGAAACAAACAGACAAAAGAAATGCAGAGAGGGAGATGGAAAAGGAAGGAGGAATAAATGGTTAATTTTTCCATCCCTCTGATCCCTTCTGCAGTTTAAGAAGGTGGTTTAGCAAAGGGCATGAGAAACTGTGCATTACTTAGGACATTCTTCCAGGGCAGTGACCTGATCCACTATTTCTTCTGATACCAAAAGAAGACTGTGCTTTGGCTCCCTAGCCCTCCACAAGTATTGGGGGATTCCAGTCTTTTAATGTCCCCAGGGTGAGGCCTTCTGGGCCCCCAGGGTCTCTGGCCCAGTGCCAGCAGATCCCAGTTTTGCCACCAGGTGGCTCTGTAACTTCACCATGCTCTCTGTGATCTGGTCAAAGTTCCCAACCAGACCAGCACAGACCGGCAGCACCTCTGGGAACACTTGTATGAGTTTCTACCGCGCCAGAGGCTTCCTAGAAGAAGGCTTTCTTTATGGTGTTAGGCCCTAGCCAGAGGTGAAAGAGTCTGGTTTCTTAGGTCACGTAAACTTTCATGGAGCTGGGGCCATGAGGAGGGTCCAAAAGATCACAAAAGAGGCTGGGTCAGAACCAGATTCACAGGAATGGGGTCAGAAGTGAGTGGCTATTCCCTGAAAGGATTTCGCCTTGTATATCTGAGAACCCTTGCTCACTAGGTTGTACACACTTGCACATGCATGCAGTTATACACAGGACAAAAGGCATGCATATCTTACCTTCTTGTACAAGTTTTAAACGTGTTCATAGGCATACTCACCTCATCATGTACACACAGTATATGCATACTTGCACATGGACAATTAAAGACATGTACATGGTGAATATTAAATCCATGTACATACCTGTACATACCTGTTCCAGAACATTTAAAAACACACATAAAGGCACATGTATACTCATACCACCCATACACAGGAAACTCATGTATACCCCATCATTACATTCAACAGAAATGTCCCAAACATATGTGTACATCCAGTATTGGGGTGTGTACAATTGACTACAAGATGTAGGCACACAGTAGCACAAATGCACAGGCATGCTCACAACAGGCACACAGCCACGAACACACATAGAAACCACACTTGCGTGCATGCCATTACAGCATTCCTAGCTCTTCTGGGCTCAGGCTCGGGTTTGGGGAGTATGTCAGGCTGGCCATAGGTCCAGCACTCACCTCTGGTTGCAGAGCTGGCAGGCGAAGCAGTCGAGGTGATACACATTGTCCCGGGCCCTCATCACCATCTCAAAGGCTGGGATCAGCTTGCTGCAGGCAGCACAGTTTCCTGTGGTGCCAAAGAGCCTGAGAAGGAAGGGAGCAGAGGACTCAAGAGAACTGGGGCGTGGGGCAGCTGTCTCCACTGATGGCCTTGCCTGTTCCCCATTCCCCAGCCCTGTGGGCATAGCAGGTAGGCCTGGGCAAGGGCAAAGGAAGTAGAGGCAACATCTAGAGCCTTCCAAGAGATCAGGCTTCAGGAAAATTGGTGCTCTGCCCAGGCCAGGGAGGCTGTATAGCAGGTCAGGTGTTGGCCGACACTACCCACCCCAAAACCCCTCCCAGGTTACCACTGGGGTCCCACAACCACCTGAGGCCTACGGCAGAACACTAGGCTAGGCCTTGATCAAAAGCTTCAGACTTTCATACAAGCCTAAGATTTAGAGGTAGTGTACACGTCATGGGCTGTGTGTCCTCAGGCATATCACTGAGTTATTCTGAGCCTCGTTTATCTCAGCTATCAAACAGAGGCCCAAATATACCTCTCATGGCAGTAGTTATGAAACTATGGTAAACTCTTAATCATGGTTCATTTGGCAAACACCTCAAGGGGAAAAAGGAGGGTTTCCTCATCTGTCAGGCACTAGTCTAGAACTTGCAAAGATGACCTCATTTGACCTCAACAACAATCCTGGAGTGGATAGTTGTATTATCTCTCATTTTCCAGATAAGAGGAATGAGTCATGGAGAGGTAATCGACTTGGGCCTGGCTCCTCCAATGGTGGGTGTGTGCTCTATACCACTGCATGGTGCAGCCTCCCTATCTTTAAAATTAGTTTCAGGAAAGCATTTTTCTGCCATGAATATGCTGTATCACTTAAGTCCTTTTTCTTTCTCTGCACTTCCATTTCTCCTTCTGTAAAATGGGGATACTGGACCAGATGATCTTGTCCAAAGACGTTTCTCAAACAGAACTGATGCCCAGAGAAAGACCCAAGGACATCTGGCACAATGGTCTCTTTGAGGCAAGTACCTCTCCGCTCAGCTGCTGGCTGCAGGGCTTGAGGTCAGGGAGTCCAGACCCTCCCCATGCAGGCCAGCCCTTGGCTGGGTACTCCAGTGGTCTGAGCTGACCCTGTTCCTCCTTGCTTCTTTTCTGCACACTGGTGGGGCAAGCCACAAGAGAGGCAAGGGACCAAGCGGTGAGTGGGAGGCCCTTCTAATCCCTGATCATTCACCTCAAGCTTGGGCGCCTGCAGAGGAGCCTGACTCCATTATTCATCAGCCTGAGCTGCTGGGATAAAGGCAGACAAAAGCTGGGCCCCAGCCTCTGCCTGCCAATGGGGGCCTTTCCTGCCCAAAGCCCAATAAGCCATTGCTGCAGAGGGGAAGCTCCAGATAACCACTCTCTAGGCTGAGAAGATCAAGGATGCTGCACCCCTAACCTAGTCTAATGCCCTTCCTGACCCCCAGGATCAATCCTCACCTCTGCCAGAATGCAGGAAAAAAACCTTCAGACCCTAGTAATTGTGAGGGCCCGGAATGTTATTGGTGCTTGTGCTCTTCTAACAGTCCTATTCCACTCTGTGGTCCTGAGGACCATCAGATGGGCTGCCGCCTCTCCCTGGTCTAGTAGATTTAGCTGCTCTGGGGATGCCCTACACTTCCAGACCTGGAGGCACATTACAGGCCCTCAAGGGGTGAAATCCTCAGGAGCACCCTTTGAAGCCTCCCTCCTAGCTCCAGCTTCTCCCCTCCAGCCCTGGCCAGGAGCTCTAATTCATAGCTCCTGTTTTATGGCATCACTTCTTAAAAGTTTTCGAAAAGGCAGGAATTAAAAGAAAAAGTGCCGGCAGGTAAATCTCAGGCTCTTCAGGAAGTAAGGGAGTTTCCACTGGTAACCCCGCCCTTTCCAACTTGCCCTGATTTGAGCAGAGGGAGCCGCACAAGCCCTTGTCCTGACCTGTTAATTAATATGATGGGCCTTCCTCCCCACAAGGCGGCCACCATCCAGCAGCTTGCGACAGAGCCAAATGCAGGCGCTGGGTCTCAGCCAAGGCCCCTGCTTTGCAGCCTCCTTCCAGCCTTGCTGATGTCATAAATGGCCTAAGGGAGGGTTAATTGGGGGAGGCAGCCCCAGGAGATGGGATCCAGGTTCTGGGAGAGGGTGGAAGAATATGAGGCAGGGAAGCAATATCCTCTTTACCACTTCACAGGGAGAGTAAACTGAGGCGGAAGCAGGTTAGAAGTCAAAGGCTCCGAGGTGATTCAAATACAGGTCTTTATCGAAGGCTGTGGCTACACAGTCAGGCTCCAAAGGCAAATAGGGTAGCTAACCCCAAGCATCACTCAGAAAAAGAGGGACTGAACAGTGAGAGAGAGGTGGGCAGGAGACTATCAGGGAAGAAGGGCCCAGATATCTCTGAGTTTTCTCACCTGCTCCTCAAAGTCTCTCTGAGGGGTCCCCTCCCAGATTCCAGGAAGAAGTGGCTCAGAAACACCTGGCACAGGTTGGAGCCAGGCTGGTGATGCCCTTGCAAACATTATTTCATCCAGAAATGCCCACCTGAGCCACGCTGGACCCTGAGTCCAAGGAATCCGGCCCTGCCCTTCATCATTTGGAACAGGAACAGGACAGTGAAGAGTGCGTGGCCTCATGGGGTGTAAGGCCTAGAGCTGACCAGAGGCCTCTGGGCCTGGAAGTGGGGGTGCTCTCGGAGCAGACAGGGCTGGGGAGGCTGGGGACCCACCTCAGGTAGTCGCGCCGGCAGAGGATGAGGTTGGCCTTGGTGTAGAGGGTGGAGCCCACCTCGCCCAGGCGGCAATCACAGCAGGCACACTTGAGGCAGTCCTCATGCCAGTACTTGTCCAGGGCCTTTAGCAGGTAGCGGTCCTTGATCTTGCGGTTACAGCCTGCACAGCCCTTCTGCTTCCCTTTGGGTTGGACGGAGAGCATCGGCACACCTGCAAGTAGCCAGACAGACAGATGGACACAGGACCAGACTAGGGCTCTGGACCTCTGGATGTATCCGTCTTCTGTGAATAGGAGTTCTTCACCTATCTCTGCTGCCTGTCCTATGCTTAGGGCTCCCAGGAGTCCTCACCTCCTGCTTTGTATCACAATAATTTCCTCTTCAGGCCTGAGAGTCTACCCTTTGGGCAGCATGGCAGACCTTGTTCCCTGGCCATGCAAAGATCACTCCAGAGGCTGCAGGGAGCATCAGGTTGCCCAAGTCTGCTCTGCTCTGCTCTAGGGCACACACACAGCCCAGGCCCAGCCATGCTGAGTGGTTCTTGTGTGTTCTGATACAGGGAGACCAAAAGCCCACTGCACACAGCTGTCATGGCGCGAGTGTTCAGCAGTGGGTCTAAGACCAGGTCTGCTAGAATTTCCAGAACTTTCTGGCCAACTCAAGTCTTCCTGTGTATTGGTCAATGTGTGTGTGACTGTTTTGAATCAGGCAGGCCAAGTCTCTCAGTCTACATGTGCCAAACTATGACCATGTCAGGAAGAAAGTAGGGGGCTCCGAGGAGGGATTGGGAAGCTCTGGCACTCCTGGAACACAAAGAGGGGCAGCTAGGCCAGACTGTTAGAGGATCCTTTCAGGAAAGCTTCAGCCAGGGCCTAACTTCTACCTGCCCAGGAAAGGAGGTTCAGGTTTTCTGGAGCTGTTTGTCCTTCTAGGATAAAAAGCTCTGAGCCACGGCTCCTCCCACTCGTATACAACATATAAGAAATAAGCAAGAGTGGGCATAGTAGTGCAAATCTGTACTCCTCACATTCTGGGAGACTAAGGCAGGCAGGTGGCAAGTTCAATCCCAGCCTGGCCAACTTAGTGCAAGATCCTTTCCCTAAATATAAATTAAAAGGCTAAAGATTTGGCTCAGTGCCCAGCTGTGACTTCACCAGGCATGTGGAAGAACCAATCCCCCATGAAAGTAGTGAGTGGGGTTGGGGTAGTGTCTTCCCCAAAGCAGAGCTGGACAGAGCAGGCAATGGAGCCCACCTCTCTCTACCTCCCCAGCTTTCCAAGAGACCTAGTGTCTTTCCTACTGGCCCCGTTCTCTCCAAAGGACCACAACTCTCTCTAGGGGCAGAGTTCACCTCCCATCCCCTTTATCCCTCCCATTCCCAGTCTCTCTCTGCCCTATCTGCTCCCCACCCAGAGGCTGAGGTCCTGAGCCACTTTTCCTGTTCCCCCTTCCATCTTCAGATGTGGCCTTTCCTAAGGCTTAGGGGTAAAACAGCCACCCCGAGGCCTCAGTCTCAGAATCCACAGAAGCCAGGCCAGAGGTCCCTCAATTCTGGTAGTCAAATCCTCTTGTTCCACAAATGGGGAAACTGAGGCCCCAGATGGCCTGGGGCTATAGTAAGCTACCAACCAAATTGGCCCCAGGACTTCTTCCCCTCTTTTTTGCTCTTTCTGAGACAAAATTGCTCCTCAGACGACTGTTGGAGAAGGGATGGCTCCTGGGCCAGTTTGACAGTGCACTCTGCAGGGAGGGAGCCAGGCCTGCAGCCAGGCCCGAGGAGGGCCTGGCAGGGCAGGCAGAAGGTGGCATGGAAGGCTGTAGTGCACGAGGGTCAGCTGTCTCCCTCTTACGTCCAGTACCCGCAGGGTCCGTTAGCTGGGAAGTTTGCTGCCTAATTTCCTTAATGCAGCTCTAAAGGTTAATTGGTCTGAGAGAGTGATGGGGCTCAGGAGGGGCTGTCCTGAGGCCTGCCTGGGTGTCCTCTGGCAGGACCCAGCTGGGTCACAGAACTCTTAAGGAGCCCCTGGAGCAGGACCCTCGAGAGCTTCATGGCCTGTAAAGCATTTTCCAAGACCTAGCCTACAGGGAGGTACAAGGTGTACAAAAACAGGAAAGAGTTTACAACAGCTGGATTTGGGGGAGGCCGGGGCCCCTCAGAGCTGGACTACTGCTCCCAGGGCCTGTGGAGGCGGATCTCATAGCTAGTACACCTCTGTGTACAAATAGCAATGGCACAGCCCCTCCACAGATGGTGTCCCCAGAATTCCCCTGGGCTGGCAACAGGCCTGGCTCCCTCCCTGTGGTCCCAAAGCCCTGCCTGGGATCTATACTCATGTAATCACAAGCACCGGCACACCTGGCTGCAGAGCCTGCGCAGCTGGCTGGCAACCCCTTCCCAGCAAGACCTGGCACCTACAGGACCCCACAAGGAATTCCTGATTCCTCCTCCCTGAATGTGCCCAGAGTGGGCCCTGCAACACATGGGCTTTTTACAGGTCCTGGCCACCCCTTCTGTGGGTGCTGAACAGGGCTCCATAAAGCTCTTGCAAAGCTTTTGCCAGTGTCCTATGTCCCTTGAGACACAGAACACTATGGCCAAAGCAATAGGGACCCTTGAGATTTCTCTACCTAGAAATCCTGGGACAAGCCTACCCCAGAATGTGCCCATGGTCTGCACTCAAACTGGTCTCTGAATCAGCCACTTCTAAACCAGGTGGTCCACAGTGAATGCACTGGTCTTCCTAGGCCTGTTTCTTTACTTACCTAGCAAGGAAAATCAAAATAATAACTTGTTTCTGACTGGTTGATAAGTTTTGAGGGTCAAACAGGACAGGGGCATCTTCCTTCCTTAGGGAACAGGACAAAGTGTCTGCTGCATTGGGCCAGGCCAGGAGGCTCACAAACAACTCTGGGGAGGTAAAGGGGCTTTAAGGGGTATCCACAGTCTCCTGCTCCCCAAATGGAGGCAACTGATCCCCAGAGGATCCAGGCTCTCTGTCCCTGCCCTGCCTTCCTAGCCTGCCCCCTGCAGACCCTCCTCCCTCCACTCCCCTCCCTGGCTCTGGGAGCTCAGCCTCGGGCCATGCACTTTCCATTAAGGAGATAGCATCCCTTTGCTGAAGTCCATTTGGGATCCATTTTAGTGTTATCTAAAAATCAAATCTACATGGTAATCCTTTTAATGTACTCCTGACTTCAGGAAAAAAAAAACAGCTTTGCACTCCTTCAGAAAAGGTTTTAAAGCATTACCCAGTAATTACCACTCACCCATGAAAACACCGGTATTTTACAATGGAGGATATTTGCACAGACACATGCACCTAGCCACGCACTCAGGTGCACCCTCTGGGCCCAGCAAGATAACCAGTTCACTTAGCCTGTGTATCCCCCAAAATCTCAGGGCGTAGGGTAGGGATGTTTAAGGGAGACAAGCCAAACTCCAATCTGTACTTCCACTGGGGCAGGGGAGTGGCCAGGCTCCAGAAGGAGGCAGCCAGGCTGCAGAGAGAGGCCTCCTGGTCTGACTCATCAGCTGCCAGACACTGACCCTCACTTCTATAATCTGGGGCAAAGCCAGACAGTCCTGGTGATAGGAAGGGACTGCCAGAGGTCACCCTGTCCCTCCTATGCTCCCCCTCCAGCCAGGACCTCCAGAGCTGACCGCCATGCCAGACCGGAGGCCTTGGCAACTCCTGTCCAGCCAGCCCAGCCCAGGCTGCCCCTCAGTCCAGCATGAGGACTCTTCCAGGGGGCCCAGTAAGTGGTGAGCTATTCCACCAAAGGGTGAAGACTCTTCCAGTGGTGCCCCTAGTTTGGACAGTGGCCTGATTTGCTTAGGGGCACCCTACCCCACTCCTACATAATAAGCTCCTCCAAAGGCCAGTCTTTCACTTCACCCAGCTCCAGGTCATTCCAGGCCATACGTTGCATTTCTTTTGCTAGTGACAACCATGGCCAGTATTGGTGATGACACCAGCCATCTAGGGACTTTCCCATATGACAGTGTATCCTGCTTGGCTCCACTGGACATGCTCCCAGCAGAACCCTGGAACGCCATCCTTTCCCGCACACTAGTGGAGCAGGTTTCTCCTTTCCTAGGGCTAAGAGGCTAAGAGCTCAGACCTTGGGCAGCTGGGAGACTACAGCAGACCCCTTCCCCTTCTCACTTGCATCTGAGAAATGGGGGCCACCCAGTCTCTCTCCACCCCGATTGTGGCACCGTAAAGAGCTATTAACCAGAGGCCATGCCACAGAGTCTGGCACCAGGGTGCAGGACAATGAACGCTCACCCCAGGTGCCATCCCTATCTGTTTAACTTTTTATAAGAGCGTAATTTCAAACTTCCAGCAGAGTTGCAAGAATAGTAAGAATTCCTATGTACCTTTCACTCAAATTCCCTAAATATGAACCTTTGGTTTCAGACATAAGGTTGCTACACCACTAACTTATTTTTGGTGTATAAATACTTGCTAAAAGCAAGTATGTTCACTTATAGAACTGTAGCACATTAATTGAAACCTGGAAGTTATCAGTGAGTACCTTCCCGTGCTCAGCTTTGAAGGGCTTTGCTCATAACCGCCTTGTGTGATAGATCCCATTATTATTCCCATTTTAATAACAAGAAAACTGATACACAAGAAAGGGAACTAACTTATGTCACAGTTACTAGGAGACAGAGCTGGGACTGGAACCCTGGCGGTCTGTCTTCTAGGTCTAAGCACTTGACTCATCTACTGTAGAGCAAGGCTCAATGCTGATGTGCAAAGAAAGCCAAGTATGAGACTTTATAGACATCAGGAGATGCTGGAAGCTATGCAGCCACAGAGCTGCAGAATACACATGAAAAGGACACAGATATCCATGTACACACAAGCACATGGGCATACAAGAGACATAGGAGGGACCGTGTCAGTTTTCCTCTCCCCACAACAGCTTTATCCCAGTGTGCTCAGCTCAGCAGCGGCAAACAGTTCAGTAAGTTCCATGAAAGTACATACATATGCATGTGTGGGTTTTGTGTTCTCACATAAATACAGTGATACTTCGGTCCATGAAATTAATTTTTTCCATGATTTTGGAAAAGATGACCATGGTTGTGTTTGCCACTCAATGTAGAGCTTGCAGACAAAAACAAAACTTTGCTAAATACTTTTGTTTGCAAACCAAACTTTTCAGAAACAAAAGCATCCATGTACCGAGGTCAAGGTACC